GTTGTACGTCTAATGTTCATTGTACATTAAAGATAATGGTTGTACTCAGCCGGAGTGTCGTCTTAAGTGTGTTTGGGTAGTAGAGTCTGTCAGCTGGCCTACCTAGCGAGCCATATAAAATAAGTAGAGTAGATTAGGTCTCTGACAGTAACTGGGAATAGACCTACAGGAAGGCCAAAGCTGCGCTATAAAGATGTATGCAAACGTGACCTAATAGATACCAACATAGGCACAGAGACATGGGAAAAATCAGCTGCAGATCGACTACTATGGAGACAGACAGTGAAAGACGGACTGTCACATTTTGAAAGAAACCGAACACAATGAGCTGTGGAGAGGAGACACCGAGAGTAAAACTGCCTCACAACGAGGGAGTATCTGCTTTTGTGTGTATCCTGTGTGGCAAAGGCTGCCATTCCCGCATCGGACTTTATAATCACAGCAGATGCTGTTCCCAAAGCCAGCGGCACATCTCCACAGTTCCCCGGGACTGACGTATGCCATTATTATTATTATTAGTCAATATTTACCAAAACCCCTGTTTACTGTTTACCGCACGGTAGTTAATATTTAAGTTTAGTGTACCGCTTACCAACACAGCGGTTAGTATTTACAAACAAACTGGTTAGTACACTCTTTAACAATACAACGGGATTTCTCATTTTCTATACTGACTGTAGCACGAACGCTAAATAAAGGCAAATGACCAATTCGTGTTCAGATAGCGTGTATAAGGCACACGCCGAAGCAAACATTCCTGCGCATTTCAACCCCTGCTGATCAGTCTGAAAGATTATGACAGAGAGAGAATGGAGCGGGCCTGGCAGACCTAACGCTGTAGTCCGATTAGACTGTTCCTAGCAAGACTGGCAGTCAGTAGTGCAGAGGGAGAGAGGAGGAAGCGGACAACACGAAAGGGGAAATAAGTATGAGGGAAATTGATAAAATTAGATAAGAGAGTACTGTGTAGAGCGCTGAACTTTCGGGGGAAGGGGTGCCTATTAACGTTTTCCGGCCCACCTACACACTGGCTGACCTTTCATTCATGCTTTCTCAGACTGTTTTACCTCAGAGGGGTGTCACGTTTTCTTGCCTCCAATTACATCAGCGCCGATGTCACATATTCTACCCTACACTAAGATACAGCTTTTAATGACCCCAGAACATCTAGAACTGGACGTAACCCCCTCCCCCCCCCTTAACCATAGCCTGAGCCTAGGTCCCACTAGAGACTCTTATAAAAAAAATAGCACATCATGATGCCCCTCTGACCTAGACCAGACTGAAAAAGTGTAGATGGGTAGGGAAACGTGAATAGGTTCGGGGAACCAGCAGCCACTGTATTATCAATAGTTAGTTTCCGGTGGTTATCAACTTGGTTATCAACTTGCTAGGCCCCATGCACACTCTTCATCACAAATCATCATCGAATGGGTTCTGGGGCCCTAATTTGGGGGAAAGGACAGAACAATACCAAAAGCCCTGCAACGGGAAAAAAAAGGCAGAGACACTAAAGCCTAGAAGTAAACCAAAACACAAGGACGAAGAAGAAGAACGAGCCATAATCTCCCCCCCCCCCCTCCTTTTTTTTTTTACTTTGTTTAAAGCTATTAAGCTATCTGAAATCATTGGATCCCACATGTGTATCCCCAAAAAATATTAATATAATCAAAATGCTTGTTGACAGTGCCTGTCCTCAGTCGTTGGTTGTGTTTGGAAAGGTCAAAACAAGGAACAAAGGCATCCCTAGACCATAGGAGTGTCCTAGGGAATCCCCTACGAAAGCATGCGGCCAACGAGATAGGGTGAGATTCGTGAGTTGTACCCAAGAATTTTATCCTGGATGGGAAACCAAGAGAGCAAAACCCAGATGCCCGGCTCAGCCTCTAAAGCACCAGTAACGGTCACACACACCTAGTCCCCTGTCAGTAAGATGTGTAAGGTCTTCTTAGTGTTTGTGAGAGAATGACACATAACAGAGGGGTCAACAGAGGTATACATAAGGGATATGATGGCTGCAGACCACCAGACAGGCCAAAAAGACAGTAGGGAGATAATATCCTAGCAGTCCTACAATAATGAACCTCAATGGCTCGGAATGATAAAGTTGTAGATTAAAGACACTTTAAAAAACACGTTGAGTAGGTCAACACCAAGCACAGTATTAGTTAGAAGAGAAATATTTCCTTCATTAATGGATGTCTGAACTCTGACAGGTAAATAAGATGTGTGCTGCAATCACTTTTATTTGATTCTTTATTATCAACTTCACTGATAGATGTTTCAATCAGGTTGTTAATGGTACCGACTGCTGGAGGAGATGGAGAGGAAACAGAGGCTTAAAAGAGAGACAGAAAAATGAAGAAGAGGGAGGAAGAAGAAAACGAGGGGGGAGAAAGAATAAAAAGAGGGAGAGGAGAAAAGGGATTAGAGGGAAAAGAAATGCAGTGGTACAGGCAATGAGAGGAGAAAGGTAGCCAAGCAGGCAAAAGATAGTGAAGGAGGTAAGGGAGAAGAGAAAGGGAGATAAAAAGAGGGAGAGATGCAGGCTGGCAGAAGAGAAAGAGGAAGCAGAGGGAAAGGAGGTGTGGGAAGAAAAGTGGAGGGAAGAAAAAAATGAAGGGAGAGAGAAGAGAGGGAGATGTAGGCGGGAAAATGGAGGGAGAAAAAAAAAGGAAAAAAAAGAGGGTAAATAGACAGAGGGAGGAGAAATAGAAGAGAGGCTGTGGGAAGAAAGAAGAAAGAGCGGGAAGGAGTGCAAAAGAAACAGGAATATGAGAGAAAGAAAATTTATAATAACTTTATTTTTCTGACATTCTGCCCTGATATTATTTAATTTAAATACTTCTTACAAAGTTAGGTCTTTTAAACTAAGAGCAGTCATAACTGCCAAACACTGCCAATATTTACTTATTTTGTGGTTTAGACTGGCAGGACATGAGCCTGAGGATTTAGGGCAGCACATCTAGTGCTTTTGCCACGGACTGTGCAGGTTATGATTTTATTTTGCCCCTGACAGAAAAAAACCCATGTCCTCACCGAGGATTTGAACCTGGTTCTCCTGCATGGGAGTCAAGTGTTCTTAACCATTCAGCTATTATATACTGAGAGGGATGTTATAACAAGTAAGAAGTTATAAAGACACACCATTGATTCCCCGTGTGGGTTCCAGGGCCCCATTGTGGGGAAAACAAGAATAGACCCACTGCCTCCCAAAAAAGCTTGCAGTTATAGTCAACAAAATGGGGGCTTCATTCAAAGTCGGAGTGCATCTGCCTTAGAGGCAAGGAACCAACAATCTGCATACAATTAATTCAGATCTGTTGAATGGATCTGCATGCAACACTTAGGTTCTGGAACAAGATAAAATCCAGAGGTAAACAAACAACCAGAACTTTCTGCTACAATTTATAGCCAGTGAAAGCGAAGAAGAAGAAGACATCAATGATCACTGACAGGACATTACAGTATCTTACTCCCTTTCTCTCTCCACCATACACATATAGATATGTGAATGATGAGTCAAGACAGCTGCTGTGCAAACATGTGTCATTGTCCCTAGCTTTATGCAGGCTGCAACAGCTCTATATCAACAACAGCTGCTTCATATCAATATCAACATGTGAGGCAAGCTATTCTTCTGTCTTCATAGATACCAAACTCTTAGTGCACTGCTTGCCACCTCAGGTGGTGCAACTTTACCTAACTCTTAGTGCACTGCATGCCACCTCAGGTGGTGCAACTTTACCTAACTCTTGGTGCACTGCATGCCACCTCAAGTGGTGCAGCTTTACCAAACTCTTAGTGCACTATATGCCACCTCAAGTGGTGCAACTTCAACTAACTCGTAGTGTAATGTATGCAACCTCAAGTGGTGCAACTTTACCTAACTCTTAGTGCACAATATGCCACCTCAGGTGGTGCAACTTCAACTAACTCGTAGTGCACTGCATGCCACCTCAAGTGGTGCAACTTCCACTAACTCGTAGTGCACTGCATGCCACCTCAAGTGGTGCAACTTTAACTAACTCGTAGTGCACTGCATGCCACCTTAAGTGGTGCAACTTCAACTAAATCGTAGTGCACTGCATGCCACCTCAAGTGGTGCAACTTTAACTAACTCGTAGTGCACTGCATGCCACCTTAAGTGGTGCAACTTCAACTAACTCGTAGTGCACTGCATGCCACCTCAAGTGGTGCAACTTTAACTAACTTCTACATGCCATCTCTGATAGTGCAACTTTACTTAACGCTTAGTGCAGTGCATGCCATTTCTGTGCACTTTCCGTTAGTACACCTTTACATAGCTCTTACTGTACTACAATTCAGATAGCGCAAATTTACCTAATCATTATGGAACACTTCTTCTGAACACTGGAATAAAACGATTCCTCCCCATGACTACTGAGAGAGAAGATGATGATGATGATAAATATAGAAACTTTTGCTTTGCATAGGCGTTTCGACCCATTAAGGCTGAAAAAGACTGGCTTTATTAACAATTTTCTTAAAATGTTCACAGAATAAACACTATAGTTTCTAAGTTTCACCGATGTGTGTCAGGTTACATAACTTTATCCCAATGATGACATCAGCTAGATTAGTTGCACTGATAGTAGATTAAATATGACCTCCATGTGAGTTTTTGGGTTCTGATGGGAAAGGGGATAGACCAAAAGCCCCCTTAAAAAGTATATCATAAAAAGTGATAAATTAGGAGTTTGCTGAAACTGAATTTGTTGGGCTGAAAGAGGCAGATAACACAGCCTAGCTGTAAACCACAACCCAATATGCCAACACCCCCCCCCCCCCCCCCCCCCCCCTCTAAATAAGGATTAAAAAAAAAAGAAAAGAAGAATTATTCCAACTGTGTTTCAACACAGCAACAACAACAAAAAAGTTTCTGTGAACAGCATTCTAATTTAAACATAGTCTACAGCGAAGCATATCATTAACAAGAGGTACATAAACACAGAAATCAGATGTGTGAGTCTACTCACCCTTTAAACACAGTAATTCCTCCTGTCTGCCTGGACAGCAAGTCTGAAAGAAAATCAATGTAAGTAAAGCGACACAGAAAACAAAACAATGACACTAATATGAGTCATTTCAAGCTTATACCCTTCGATTTCTAGTCAGAGATACTAAGCACTTATGAGCTTGTCTCTAGCACAGTGACATAAAGCCTTTAGGGCAATAGCATCTGCCTTTCGTGCCTGATTTTACTACCTCTTTTTTTTTAGGGTGGTGCAAAAAACAGACTTCTTAACTTCTTTTACAAAGCAGTAACTTTTTAAATAAATAAGTTTCCGGCATGAAGGGACAGTGGTGTAGGAAGGGACAGTGGTGTAGGAAGGGACAGTGGTGTAGGAAGGGGGTGCGGTCAGTTTTAGATGCTACAATGAAAGGGAAGGGGGAGGGGGAGGATTTTTTGGAACTAACAAAATATATTTTAAGGGGGAACAAGGGGGGGGGGGTAACAAAATGGCAAAATTAAGTGTTGTTAACATATTCAATAATAGGGTGGGGGGAGGTGGAGTGACATACATTTTCTGCACCAGGTACCACCTGACCGTTCAAATAATAACACTATCGAACATTAAAAAAACGAATTAACAACTGAGACAGAATGAGTTAAAGCTGCTCCGAGACAGGACACAAGTCACTCAGATAAGCACAGCAGGTCTGAGAAATAAGCACATGGAGAGTTGCTAGGTAGGTACTCAAACAGTTGAGGGGCCATGCAATAATACTGGGGAAGGGAAGATAAGGATGTGGTGTGTGTCACAGGCCCATTTTAATAATTATATAGACTTAGTACCTTTTGATTTTTTAACAGAGTAAGGCAAACTATGTTTTAATGATTAACATGACTGTAACACAAAGTTATTACAAAAGATTTACTTTGAACAGCAGGAAATTATAGTTTGGCAAACCAAGGATGTATCACATACACACTATTGGGGTGTCTATGCTACAACCCAGAATGACCCGCATGGCTGCATTCTATATGCTCTCTAGTTGATTCATCTGACTCTTTGAGACAGTTAGCAATCATAGCCCACAATTAATCACTGAAAGGATCAGGTGCTGATGTAGTGTGAACAGCATTCTCTGTTCTATGTCCACAGCAGCCTTAGTCTTAAGCACATTGAGTCTTTTTTGGCATCTTGTCACAACCATCTCCACATGGTGTTTGAATAACAGACTCCTGTCAAATGATATTCTCAAATACTTTTAGTCTGCTCTCTCTTGACATTTCTGCCATCTATCGAAAGATATGGGGCCTCAGCTCTAACAATCCTGTTATCTAGAGACCACCACAAAACAAATGACGCATTTTCTGGGTGGAGGACAGCCCTCATTTCTGTATACAAGTCAATCACTTTGTCTTTGTCGCTTACAGCTCCTGGGCTGTTCGTTCCCTCTCTCTCCCCTGCCTAAATGCGAGTAAATCATTAGCAAGTCAGTATCCTTCCATTTCCTGGTGCTTTTAGGCTAGCAATCTTGCTAGTATACAGGTCAAAGAGCACAGGCTAGACGGTGGATCCCTGTGGCAGTCCTGGGGCTATGTTATTCTGAGATCCATGAACCCAGAGGAGAGCAACCCGATGAGATTACAGGACAGCTGCGACCCAATTCACCAAAGAGGGACTGACCTCCTTCGCCATCAGTGCAGTCATCAAAATGTTGTATCATACTCAGTTATAGGTGTCCTTGAAACCCAGTGCTGCTGCCATAATTTTCTGTCTGTTCTGAAACCCCTCATAGAAGTAAAAAGCAACAGTGGCTGTATTTGACCAGGTGTCCTTCCCTGGCCTGTAGCTTCCTAGACATCTTGGGATAAACTTCCTACTTTCCAAAAATTCTTGCAGCTTTACAGCAACTTTTTCTAAGACCTTCCCAAATGTATTTTGTGAGGTGATGATTCTAAAGCCAGTGAGCTCTGAATGGTCCTTAGAAGGTTTTGACAGTGGGATTAGAACGCTGTGCACCCAGTCCAGTGGTACTGATGCTGTCCTAATGCTATAGTTAAAGCAGTCGGTCATCTCCATCAGGTCTTCATCGCTCAAAGCCTTTATCTGGCCGTACCTGACCCCATCAGGCCCTGGTGCAGTGCCTTTTGCCTTTTTCCAAATTTGTTTGATATCTTCCACTCATATCATGTCTTTATAATGCATATTCTTTATGGTGCCAGACAACTTCTCTCTAACTGCATCCCTGATGTCTGCATCATTATGATCTGAGATATAAATCTATGGAGAAATGCCTTCCCTTTCTCCTTGTCTGTTGCCCCCTGCACACCATCGTTTCTACAAATTGTTCCCACTGTCACAGGCTGATCTTTTCTTTGCATCTGTCTTTGCAATTTCCAGAATTTTCCCAATGTTTTATCACTTTCCATATCATTCACGAAATTTTCCCACTTTGCTCTTTTGGCCTCTGCAGCACAGTGCTTGAAGCTTGAAAATCTCCACTTTTTTTCACATTTTCTGCCATCTCGTGAGCTTAGAGGTGTCTGTCGTACTTTCCTTAGCTACTTCACTGCAGCTCTCTTTGCCGTAGCCTCTTGCGACATGCCTGGTAGGGTATAATTTTATAACCTTTGCTTCCTGTGAGGGCCCCAGTGACAAACGAATGCTGTGCAATCTACCTGTGTTAATTAAGGTGAGAAAGTAGAGCTCTTATGAGCTCTACAGAGCCAATCCCAATGTACATAGTGACATATGGACAGTCAAGTGATAAGTGACAGATTATACATTCCCTGTACTTGCCAGACCTGCCCTAACTTACTTCCACCTGTCTGGAAACCTCAAATAGTCACTGAAAGGAAACACATTTTTTTTGGGGCGGGGGGGGGGGGTTCGATGAAGAGGACAGCAGTTGGTGCATAAGCGGTTACACATGTGACCAAAAAAATGTTTTCTACAGGGATCCAAGCACTTTATTTGCCCTGGAGGACTTGCACTGAATGTGGAGGTGACTACATTGAACAAATTTACATTTGTTCTGTACTTTTTCAGAATATATTCACACATTTTAAAAAAACCTTAATGTTTCCTTCTTCTTGTTCACTGGCTGTGAGCTCCAGCTGAAAGTCCTGGTTGTTCATCCATTTGGACTTCTGGCTCTGTTCTAGGACCTGAGTTTTGCATGTATATCCATTTTACTTGTTCCCTGCCTCTCGGGCAGATGTACTCCCACTTCGAAGGGACATCGATCCTATCTCTAGAACGACTATGGCCAGTGTTTTTGTAGGACTTGATGTTGCCACATTTGTGTGGAATCCTGTTCATCCCTTTATCTACATGTATTGCCCCCAGAGAACCCCTTTAGGGCAACCGTGTGTAGTCTGGGCACCCCTCAAAGGAAGGCAGAGGCAGATCATGGGCATTCCCGCCATCCAAAGAGGTGCCCATAAATGCAGAGCCAACAAATGGTACTCTGGGTTTCTCACCCAAGAAACTGTCACATCCTGCACATGACTGCTTGACCTCACAACCGCATGCTTAGCTGTCCATTCGTCACGGGCTGTGCCCTCGGGAGATCAGCAGGAAGCAGCTAGCAGGTCCAGGACTCCGATGACCACACAAACAGGACATTCTTCTGTATCACATTAGACACCTTCAACATTGGTTCATTTGTGCGCTTAGTACTGCAATATGGAGAGGCATGCATCAGGCATGACGTCACCTGTTTCGTCCCAACCCTCAGACAAGTGGGCCGATGGATACGGGTAGCTGAATCTTTCTGCCAATCAGTAGTGGGATTTATGACGATCGAACACTGAGATTTTGCTGGTGTGTCACAGGACGTACCATTGTTGGACATTTGAGTCTCAGCAGTCCAGTTTTTTTTTTTTTTTTTTTTTTTTTACTCGACAGACTTTTAACTGAGAGGAATCATTTAGTTGTACATTTAGCAAGCAAACTTTGCTCATGTTCCAAATTAGTTTTCATCGACATTTGCAACCATGCTTTTGGGGGTGGGCTGATGTGGGTCACTTTGGACGCTACATCTCTGGGGAAGTCACCAGCTTGATATTCCCTGCCAGCTCTGTTAATGCTCATTTGAGACATTATTCGTGGCGCATGACGGGGACGTGCAGGATTCTTGAGTGAGGTTCTGTAAAAAACCAGCACAGAAAAGGCTGGTGAAGACAATGAATGTACAGACATAAGATATCCTCAACTGACAACATAAAGAAGTAAACAAATTAAAATGCACCACACTTTATGTGTATTGTTGAAGACAGAACGAGTCAACGGTAATGACTATCAAGATATCCAATTTTTGGTGAAGATGGCTAGTGCCAAAAAAGAAAAAAGTTGAAAATAATATTAATCTGAACTTGATATCTGACCATTATTTTGAATGACATTTTAAGACTTACTTGTAGCTGCTGAACTAATTTAGAAATAGGTTTCGTTCCATGGAGCTCACAACTTTTCTTGTATGCTGAAACCAACTCATCTGTTGTCCATGAAGGTGCTGCAGATAAACAGAATTGCCGGGAATTAGTTTAAAATTATAGGGATGAAACAAAAAATACTTGACCATGTTATTATAAGAAGATTAGATCTTGTGACTTCTAGTAGTGACAGTCTCATAAATGCTGACATGTCAGCAGTTCTGCAATTACTTGTTCTCAGAAAGTATAGTTAAATGTCATTGATTCTATCTGCACCTATCTTGTGTTTAAGAGGCCCAGTTATGACTGTACCTGCATCTACCAGGGCAAGTCTGGTGTAGAGACTTGCTGTACTTGGAACTGAAGAATATCCTCCATGGAGACTGTGCTGCCAAGTTCTCCTTTCCTCTTCAACTGCAGGAACCAAGGGAAAATGAACCTCACATGTGCAGACAGCATAGAGGCATGCTGATCCTTGGAACTCTGTGAATAGGCTGCCTCGTTTGTGTCCAATGTGGGTTAAGGTTGAGAGGGTTGACTTCACTGATCAGGGTTTTATCCCAAATGACCTTGTCTCTCTTCGCCAGTCGCCTGCCAGGAGTGTCATAACAAAGCATAAAAAACTCACAGCTCCAGCACCGATCCTCAGGAATGTCTGATAAACTTGTTTTGCACTCATAAAATGAACCCACCACACTCAGAGTGCAAGGCAAATTGCTTGATTGACCATTTTAACATAGAAACCTCCATCAATCTGGGTGTCCTGTTGGCTTGGTGACCCATTTTAACTAAGTAAAGCTGTGCTTTATAAGTAGATGTTAACTGAAATGAGAAAATGAGAGTTAGTGATGTGTAGAACCTGTGTAGTTATATTCATGTGAGACAGGAGCAATAAGCAGACAAGCTGACAAATATTTATTTGTGGCAGAGATGTGGTTTTTGAGAAGAATGCAAAAAATATCATGAGAAGATAGAGAAACAATTGAAGCATTCCTCATCGAGACAGATGAAAGTCGGGTGCTTTCATTTTTATTCACCCCAATCAGACAGTCCAATATTTTAGGGGGTGGTAGATAGGCTGCATGCAGTTGTGGGACCTAGGCTGCACTCCCTCGTGGGACGTAGGTGGATTGGGATTAGGTCTAGTTCTAGGTGTTTTGGGGTAGTTAAAAGCACCACAAAGTTGGGTCTTACCATCCTACAAAATATTGGACTGTCATCGTGATGTCATCTGAGGTGACTTATTATGAAAGAACCGAAAGTCATAAACTTATTAGAACAATCAGACGTAGACAGTCAGTGTTTTTTGTGTGTGTGTGGACATGTTACGAGAAGAAATGGACTTGAGAACTTGGTGGCAACTAGTAATATTGATGGAAGGAGAGCATAATACCACAGATTATTATTAATATTCACAGGTTAATAAATATTTTAACAAATGTTTACTTTTTGTGATAGATACACAAATTGATATGTTTACTGTTTGTAATATATACACATTAATTTGGTATTTAAAAAATCAGTGCCAATTATAATACCTAAAATATAACTTGGAAAAAAATCTCATTTACTAGATTTAAAATGAAACCATCAATGTACTGAAGACAGAGTTAGCCCAGCCCCTTAGCAGATTCTGGTGTTCGGTGTGAAGTGTTACATTTTTACATATCCTAAGTAAATGAACAGTGGTGGTCAGCTTCCTAAATCTTACCCTTCCCAGACAATTGTAAACAATTATCTGGTACCTATTTTTAGAAGGACCAGGAAAATATCCTGCCACCGCTTTGCTTGTACCTGGACCACTATCTTGGTAGGCAAGCTTCATACTAACAGTCTATTTCTTCTTCTTCACTTTTTATAATCAAATCAATCAAAATGCCACCAAAACAGGCACAAGACAATTACACTATTTTATGGACAGACCAGAACAAGTTATTATTCTACATCTTAGAAGAACCAGACACAATCAACTTCGCAGCCACATGTATACAAAATTTAAAATCAGCAAATCAGCCATGTGCACATGTGGACTAGCACCTGAGACAACAGATCATGCTCTCCAAGACTGTCCGAAATACAACATATCAAAGTAAAACTTTTGGCCACGAGAAACATTGGTGCAAGTCAAACTTTACGGGTCGCTAAGTGAATTACAAAAGACAGTGAAGTTCATACTAGAGACAAACATTGCAGACATATTTAATTTATTTTAAGTGAACGAAAGAAGAAGAAGAAGAAGACTTCCTATTTTACTGCTCTGGGTGTCAAGAGAGATTAAAGGTTCTTGTTCTCGCTTTTCTGACCCACGTCACCATAGACACTTTAAAGGGAGCTGTGTGGTCTCGAGGCATGTCGTCCACCTTGAATGCTGGAGGTCCCGGTGAAGGTTTGGATTTTTTCCAAAAAACCTTAATACCATCCTTATGTGATGACCTGTTCATCTTTCCTGTTAGAGAATGAGATGAAGATAAGGCATGAGCTGCAACCAATAGCAAAGAACAGGATGACCTCATAGTAACCAGTATTCTTGTTATTAAAGTTTATCTCAATTTGCCTGAACAGTTACTTTTAAAAATCTTAGTCTAAATAGTTACTGCTTTACCTTCTTTGAGTCTGACAATTTGTGCGGCGAATTAACATGACTGTTGTGTTTTAAATGAAACTATTCTGAAGAATAGGATGACTTTACACAAGCTGGCTGAGAACCAATGATTCACTGGGGGAAGAACTTATGGAGCAGTGGAATGAATTTGGAAGAGATGTTTGTAGCATGACAACAAGCCTGCAAAATGTGTTTCTGTCAGTAGAGAAAATGTCAGGGTTACAAAGTATAGAAATAGATCAAGTGAAGTCAAATTCAATGTAGCAAGCTCCTAAATGTAAACAAACCAATTAACTCTAAAAAAAATATCTCATCAATTGGCCACTGCTGGTGCTTGCTGTATTTCCTATCTGCTTTATTATCAGACATGACTCTTAAAGTCCAGGAATCTCTGAGTGTGCCTTGCCAGTATGGAATTTATTTACAAAGACAAATTCTTTGGGTATTTAATTAAAACACTTCTCAGAGATCTGGGGTTCCGGGGCCCCATTGTGGGGAAAACAAGAATAGACCCACTGCCTCCCCAAAAGCATGTCGTAAGAGTCGACTTATTGGGGAGCTTCCTTTGAAGTCGGAGTGCATCTGCCGGAGAGGCAAGGAACCAACAGTGTGTATTCAAGAGAATGAGATCTGTAAAACTGATGCACACGCAACACTCAGCTTCTGGAGCAGGACTGCAGTTCAGTAGTGGATGAGCAACCAGAACCTTCCGCCAGAGTTTATAGCTGGTGAACGCGAAGAAGAAGAAGAAGAAGTTCAAAGATGTGCACCTGAACAACTAATTTTTGAGGTTCTTTTCGTCAGTTCTTTAGCATTATAGTGTACACAGTATCAGGTGGTATTAACAAAGACTTATGAACTGTTATTTCCAGCAATGAGTCAAAATAATAAATGTTGCAGTGACAAAATGGCCTCAGTCAATGTGGTTCAGTACAGGCTGCATTAGTAAAGTAGAAATATAAGAATACAGCCAATGTGGTATGATAAACAAGAGCACAGTAAATTTGAAACCCATCCCTAAAAGGGCATACTGTAGTATGTGTTTATTTAAAAAGCAGCAATGTCTAGAAACAGCAAAGAAATGCTGGAAAAAGTTATTTTGATGATTATAATTAAGCTGGAAAAGTTATTTTGATGATTTTAATTAAGCAATTCAGCAGCTGACTATCTCCCAATAAATGAAGTAAAAAGGATGACTATTTCCCAAATTAAAATTAATCTAGCAGGCTTGAATGAAGTATAAGACTTTATGTTGTCAGCTCTATCTAGCAGACTTTTAATAATTTTGGACAATTATAAAAATTTAATTCAAACATACACTTACTGAACACAAACGATCAATGTGTGTGTCCTTTACAGGATGTTGCAAAACCACCCTAGTTTTGTGATTTCACTAGATAATTTTACATTCAGTAGTTTGCAACTGCTTCTAAATGATCGGCTCTTGAAACCACAGTTGAAACCATGGCATGGAGGGGTATGAACAAACAACATGATACACACTCTTGCTGACTGTAGAGAGGCATAATCGCCCACGCCAGTCGGCAAGGCACTTGATGATGATTACTAACTTTAACTATTGTTATAAAGTATAATAAAGTGTATACTTACCATTCTGCCACGGGTCTGGTGGTTCAAAGTAGTCAGAAATAAATGTATCCTTTGGAAAGCTAATCCCTTTTTTCTGTTTCCTACAAGTTGTCTCGTCAGAATTAATCTCAAGATCTTTACCATTAGAAACAATACTAGGTTGACTGTCACAAGCACTGTCTGTTTTACTATCAACATTCTTATCTGTGACACCGACAGAACTCACAGTCGCAGAATTGTTGACTGCCGCCGCCCTTTTCTGCTCGTTCTCAACATTGTTTTGTCTCATGTTCTCCTGTGCGCCGTCTGCTATATCGGTGTTATCTTGTGAATTACATAAACCACTGGTGCTTGTTAATTCACTGATAACAGAACTATTGTTCGAAATTTGTGTTTTCTGAAAGATGCCGTTGTGTGTTGCTCTAGTCCCGTTCGAATCAACATTGTTTACCGACACTGTTCTGCTCGTGACAGCATCAACAACATCAGCTGTTTCATCTCCTACGGACGTTCTTGGATTTACAGTTTCATTAAAAAGATCCACATTTGCAGTTTCGTTGCCAAACTCAGCCATAATATATCAGCTTACTGCCATCTGAGCTTACAGAAAAGATGAAAGACTGAAATACAAACAGTAGACAATAAACAGATTGTACAAAACAGAAGCTTCTCTATTTGTTGGCTGCCATTTTTTCGCCTGCGTCACATGACTTCCTGTTGGTGATCTGTAATAGCGTCTGTCATTGGCTATTTGTTTTTAGGAAAACCAATCATCATCGACTACATCTGGCGGCCATTTCAACCCTCCTTCCATCAGAATTTCTTCATCCGACAATCGCCTTTCTCTTAGTTAGTTTCTTGGTTGTTCTTTTCTATATGTGACTGCAGATGAGTATATTGAATTATTAGTGCACAGCCTAGAGACTTCATTTTTGTTTCAAGTCCATAAATGATGAAGAACTAAGCACAAGTAAACAAACTGATACTGGATACTCCCGGCAAAATTAAAAATATAGCGGTGACGTCAGTTTTAGTTTTAATTTTGTGGATCGTATTTATTTGTAGTAGTAGTACCCTTTTAGTCTACACCATATTTTAGTTCGTAGTGTATCATCAAAGATTTTTTTACAAGTATTCTTTCGACATCGGTTTTTTCACGCCTTCTGCTAATTTACGTTAACTTACTTAACCCTTTTAGCACGGGAAGTTTTTCAGAGGTCTAGCCAAAAACACGGAGCATTTTTTCAGTGAATTTGGTTATTACTTTATTTAATTTTTTTGACAGATTTCTGTTATTCTGACCCCTATGAAATAATATATCTATTTGAAGGATATAGATTGAAGTTCGTGATTTTCACAATATCGTTAAAATTAATTGATGTATATGCAAATTATCTCATTTGCATATCTAAAAATAGAAAATATGAATTTGAATTTTCAACTTCAATGCTTGAAACATAAAACTAAAAACAAAAATTTTTTTTATTTGAAATCTTTTTATTGATCTTTGGCCTTTTTACAAACGTTGTAAGCAATTCAATAGTCAAAAACAGGTATATATATATGAAACAGCAATAATATCTTTAGGTGACATGTGTTTTTCACCATCAGTCAGCACTAGAAATGGATGTGCCGGAGTGTCAACACCTTCGGGTGGATATACCCTGAGCCATGGTTGGGCTGTGGTCTGAACACAACAGCGTCCCCATCTGATTCCCACTATTACTATATCAAATGTTTTATCAACATCAAGTTTAGGGGCAGAAACATACGAGTCAGACATACTTTTAGCGGTTCAGGTCACTATCTAAAAAATTCAACAACAATTTTCACTTCGATACCAAACACTCGAAAGTCGCCATGTGTAAAGCTGATACCGCAGTTAATATAAATGAATCACTTTCAGTGTTTCAAAGTAGGAGATTTCTTAGCGGTTCGAGGCGAAACACGATCGGGCCGATCATCGGCCGTTCCGTGTTTTTGGCTAGACATCCGCCGGCCGATAATCGGCCCGTCCGTGCTAAGAGGGTTAATTGCAACAAAACTTAAACAGCTCAAGGCGCCAAACACTCAATGGATAGCTACAGATAAATCTAAAACTAACTGTTCCAGTAGTAGAAGTAGGGTAGGCAACACAGGTTGCAATTTTCTTAGCCACTAGATATACTCTTACTGTATGACTCATTCGCGACCTTAATCGTCACATTGAAATTTTCACGAATACCATCTGATAGATCAATAATAGAAAGGAATGGCCATTGATTTCCTCTTGGTACTTTTACCCTTTGGACATTGAGCTTATTTGGAGTTTCAATACCAACAAAAATACAAGAGTTTTCATGGAAGAATTCTCCTAGTTTACAATTTTAAAAAAAATATTTTTAAAATAAAGAGTGTAATTAATATATACAAAACTCTGTATATTTTGGGAGAAAAATTAATGAACTAACAGAATATGAATATGTATGAATCAAACTGAAATCTCAACATAATTCAAATTAACGGCTATCCTCCAAATAATGGTCCCATATTATCGAGGCCGAAAATATACCCTGAAAAGGCCTCAGTCACATGTAAATTGCAGACCTCTTCCGGCAACTACACAGCATACCGCCGAGAGTATCTCCTGCGCGGCCTGGAGCGGGGTAAACTAGATGGCTGGGACTCACCAGCAAATAAAATGAAGGAAGATGCAGGAGAGGCGGTAGCTGCTACTCATGAGTCCCAGCCATCTAGTTTAGCCCCGCGGTGTGGGAGATACTCTCAGCGGTGACTTTTACTCGGCGGAGGCTTTTCTGCGGTATGCTGTGTGGTCGCCGGAAGAGGTCCGCAATTTTCATGTGACTGGGCCCTGTTGGGGTATTTTTTCGGCCTCGATAATTTGGTACCGTTATTCGGAGGATAGCCAAATTAACTATTATGATTTGCATAATTTATGCAGTCATTTTTTTTAAAACTTGGGATCAAACATGACTAACCTGAAAAATTTTGGTGAATTTTTTTTTAGATGAAGCCTGAATAAGTCCTAAGACTTTTTTGGGGAAATAAGGCCAATAGAGGCCGTTCAGGCACTTCTGATGCATGGTTCTATTCATTTTTATGCCTTCTGCTATGTTTTGGTTGCTATGACGCAACAGGCCTTTTCGCCATCGTTTGGCACAGGTAAACTCACACAATAAAATGGCTGTAAAATTACAGAACACATCAAACTTTCTCAAAAACCGTCAATAGCCTACACGTACAAGAAATACGAGAAGTAATCAGGTTTGCTGGTACAAAAACCTTTTATTACACAAGGCTGACCGATCGGCCCAGCTGTCTTTGCTGGTACAAAAACCTTTTATTACACAAGGCTGACCGATCGGCCCAGCTGTCTTTTTAGTTACTTTGCATTCGGCTGATATTTCGCCCGCATCATCTCCAGAGTTTTTAAAAAAAATTTGAAAATGCATTTTTGCAGAGGCACAAATAGATCAGTAAATAAACAACGGTCTGAGGAGCAGCGAGGAGTTACTAGGGATTCTGGTTGATGCTCAAGGTAAAGGCGAGACGGATAAACAGACAGTTACTGGTGTCATTGGAATTGAAACTCTTCGCTTGCTGCTGAAGATGGGACGGCGCGCTTATAGGGGTGTCCCGAGTGCTGTGATTTTGACTCCTAATTCAACATTCATAACGTGCTCAAAGAATATGGTTAACCTACTCCATTCTTTTGTGGATAATAACTGAATAATGTAGACATAAACAATACATCGCAAAATGTAATGCATGGCATATTATGCAGTATCTCATTTGGTGCATTACTAAAATTACTTGAGCATATAATGTAGCAAAAACATGAATCATTTCCATAGAAATATACAAATCACTTTGTTTCTGTACACCAGATCGTATTGCCAATATCAATGTAAATATAAGAACCAGGTAACTAGTCTGTGGCTCTGGCGTTGCGAATAAGCTGTGTAGTGCCATGTTCGATCCCAGCTGCGGACGATTTGGCATACATTGGTTTCGACAGTGGTACCGAGAGCTGACTGTTCAGAAAACAGTGGAAAACTGCCAAACCTAAAATTTGCTTAGAAAAACAACAAAAATGCTGAGGTTGGTTCTGCAAAGTCCCGTAAAGTATATGCAGCTAACTTTTTTTTTTAACAGATAACTTACAGAGGTGGCTTGGAAACAAAGTAGCAGACCGTATCCCTAAATCCCACACACTGAGTGCAGATTCTGTAAGTGTGTCAGGATCAACCAAGAAGATAGAATCTAATCTTATATCGTCAGCGTATGTTTCTTAAGCGTTGTTAACGAGCTTTGTAGTGCTAGGTTTGATCCCAGCAGCGGGCTGTTTTGACAGTAGTACTGAGAGCTGACCGTTCAAAAGCAGTGGCAAACTACTAAATGTAACATTTACCTAGAAAAACCACAACAGTGCTACGAAGTTCATGCACTGAACTGAGATTCTTTGGACTCAGGCTTGAGTCAGAAGTAGAAAGGAGCACTTATAAGTTACCCCTTGTGCCATGATGTTGATCCATTGTTTAAACCTAACAATGAGATGTCATTTGCTTGACTATGGCACTTAGTTGATAGGGTTTGTGTCTTCTGAGGTATAGCCACACGATGATTAGGCATTTACTTAAATTGGCAGACATCTTGACACTTTGAATGAACTGTCCTACCTTGTTGCAAATTATGCATTACATACGGTAAATTTGAAAACTTCTATTGTTATCATGAGGCTAATCTTGAATTTCAGATGGTGAGAGGTACAGTGCAACTACAGACATTGTAAATTTTTTAATTTTAGTGGAAAGGATCAATTTTGTATTATAATTTGTTTGTTAAAGGCTTTCTGTGAAATATTCACAAATCTGTACAGATGTTTATGAAGAAACTTTATTGGGGGGGGGGGGGGGGGGGGGGGGGGGGAACTTTGGTTGTTTCACTCTGCCATTTGTTACTGTGTATATTCAGTCAGTTAAATATTTAAAATGTTCTTGCACTAGTGTTTGGGGTTGTATGTATATTATACTGAGTAAAAGATAATGCATTTACTAAACTTTACGGTTAAAATATATTTAATTAGTAGCCGTTAAGTGGTATCTGTAATCTGGTGTCATGACTAATTCTGAGTCATAAAAGTTTACATTACAAACGAAGTTTGTATACCATGCAACAGTTTTTACATCTTAAACAGGATGTATACCAAGCTGAACGTAAACCAAGGTACTCCTGTACATCTATACAAAAGATCTTGCTTATATAATTGTTCAAAGTCAGTAATTTTAT